AAGAAGGAAGGAAGGAAGGAAAACAGGACAGAAGGAAGGAAGGGAAGAAGAGGAAAGAGGAAGAAAAGGATGGAGAGAGGGAGAAGGAAGAAAGAAAGGAAAGGAAGAAAAGAGGGGATCATTTCCTCGTCTTTCCCTACAAACCCCTGTCCTAATAACTCACAGAGTTTTATACAAGTTCATGCACAGCCCCTTATCTTACCCCAAAAGTCACCACCAAGAGATTCTACCAAATCACCAGGAGGGCATGGGTCTGACGCTGGTCTGACTTGCAAGGCTATAACTTTGTAAGAAGCACAAAGGCAGGAAAAGCGCAGTGCATACACTGGAGGCCCAGCAGAAGTAGTCCAAGAGGACCATGGGGAGCTTTACAGCAGGAGAAATGAGAGGCCAGAAGGTGGAGCAAAGAAGAGAGAGGCAGGGACGAGAAGACAGGTCATCAATTCGTTACCTGCGTGGCATCAGTAAGGCAGCCATACAGGCATCCGCTTATGGTTACCCCTTGGGCTGGTTTGCAGGGACGGCAGGGTAGGAAATAAGACTGCTGGGTTCAGGGATTTACCCTCTCACGTCCTCTCACCTAAAATCAAAGAGTCTGCTGTAAGAGGGTTCACCCCCTCACATCTGTCTGCAAGATACACCCTTCCAATGGCTCTCTGCCATCTGAACACTTCCCACAGCCCCCACAAACGTCAGCTCGTTCTTAGCAAGGGCAGCAGATCAAAGACTGACAGGAACAAATGCCAGGTGGCTTCACATTGCAGACTGTTGGTCAGAAGTTCCTGCTTCCCCAACCACTGGCCATCAACCAAAATTGGGACATGTACCCTTAGGGAGGCATGGGCCTGCAACCCAAAAATGACTGTTCTCTTTATCTCACTAGACCGATGCCCAAGTGACCAGCCCGGAAGAGACCAGGGAGGAGAGGTCACCACTTGCTCCAGAATAATCTGATTGGATGCTGCTCTGGTTCCCACCTCCCTCCAAGGACACCTGTCCCAGGTGGAAATGAGCCAGAGTTTGTGAAAAGGGGAGCAAGGAGGGGGGTTAAAGGGACTTGGAGGTAAGCCATCAGACTGGAGGTAAACCATCAGACACCCTCACCACTGGGCATGCTCCTTGGCAGGGATCCCAGACACAGGCTGAAGAAATGAATATGCAAGTCACTCTAGCTCATAACGGGGTGAACCTTCCTCAGCCTGGCCTATTCTTGACCTAAAACAGGGAAGATTTGGGGATGGAGGAAGGGGATATGGAGGGTGAAGGATGATTGGCTTATAGCCTCTCCTTCCCATGGGTGTCATTGGCAGTGTTTCAGACCATTGTTCCCACAAGAGAGAGCTGATAGGAAGAGCTACCTACCTACCCATAAAAGGTTCCCCTGGGGAACCCTGCCACCAAACGTAGAATCCATTTTAAAAGAAACCTAATTTGGATAAATAAGAATCCAGTGTGACTGTGCCATTTAAGTGGTTTTGGTATTACCCGAACATTTCACAAATACTTTTACAATTCACTTTCTGAGTAATTATATCAGTAACAAAATAGAAGGATGATGACTCTATTAGCACTGAAAACAGAAAACGACAACAAAAATCAGGCTTTATGTAAAGGCTCATTCCACTGGGTCATGCTCTCTAACAACAGGGGACATTTCCTTCATCACTGGCCTAACTGGGATTGCACCTGTTTTTCCAGAAGTGAGGCCATCAAAGCCTTTTACAGCTCCAAGGGTCTCCAGAAAGCATGTCTGGGACACCTACGCCTCATTTCCTCTTGTTTATAGAATACGTCCCCGGGGAGGCGGGGGAAGATCTTGCCAGGGGCCTTCATTATTCTGTAGCTGAGCAGACCAGAGGTCACAACCCATATATACCACAGGCAAGGTCGTTTAGGGCAGGGGACTTCTGGCTCTGTCCCTGCCTGCCTCTCTTCCCTCCCTGTCCTCTGTCAGCCCACACTAGCTTGCTGGTGCTATCCAGTTGTCTCCTCTCCAGCCAACCCCCCTCCAGCGTCTCCCAAGTCACCCTTTGAGTGAGGTCAGCTTTGGACTCACAAATCAGAACCAGCTGGGCACTCTGCCCCAGCTGCCTTGTCTATTCTAGGATCCAGAACCCTCAGGGCTCTTATCCCACACAGCCCTAGACTGGCTTATAAGGGATACATAAGGGGTTACCCAGAAGCCTGGGAAGTTCAAAGATGGACACGTCACACACACACCCCATAGTGCATGTATCCTTAGAAGTGGGCACCAAGTCACAAGTGACTGGGGCAGACAGTGTAGAAAGAGATGACATTCAAGGTGGAGAGGGGGGCATAAGAGGGAAAAAAGAAAGCAAAGATTTATTAAGAAGGGAAGAGAAATTAAGCTCAGCAGGGAGAAAGCAATCAATATGCATGAAGAGGCAGATTAATTAAATATGTATAATGCAATCAGCTTTCCAACACCCCAGAAAAAAAGGAGAAAGGCAGAACCAATACTTACTGTGGTTGACCGGTCCTCATGGCCTGCAGGTCTTTGCCAAGTAGATGGTCAGAGATGCTTCGGGTTAAGGCGCTCTAAGGAAAGAGTAGATCTTTCTTTTAGCAGTGAAATCCTTGGCAGGTGGAAGGCATGTTTGCAGGGACACATAGGCTCACGCATGCATACACATGTATATAAGCATGCACGGACAACACACCTCCCACCGCTTGAGCCAGGCAGCAAGCGGCCCCAAAAGCTCTTCTCTCTGCTTGTCACATCCAGTAAATACTGAAGCAGCCTACACCCAGCAGGCGGCGGCTCAGCTCCCGGGCACAGTCTGCACGCCCATCCTCATTGGCAGGATGCAGGAGATGCCCCCAAGCAGAGCTGACCTGGCATGCATCCTGCGCCTTCCTCCTTCAGCCTCACTAACCTGCAGCTCCTTTGGCTGCAGCTCAGGGAGAAGTCTCTCCCCAGCCCACAGCAGCTGCTCTGCCCCCCAGCCAAAAGTAGGTATTAACTCTTTTCAGGCCACCAAGTAGCTGAAAATCCAGAGAAGGGTACTTTCCTAATGAGCTTTTCTGCTGGCCGGGAGGCTGGGAGGCTGGAGGCTGGTGGCTGCACTGGGGAGCAGGGAGCATAAAGATCTTGCCCCAGACAGCTGCTGACAGCAGGAGCCAAGCCGAATCAAATCTCCTAATGAGCCAGGAGGAGGGGGCCTGTCTTTGCTGGGTGTGATGTGATGTGATAAATGCAGAGAGGGAGAAAGCTACGGGGCAGGTCGCACATCTAAATTCCACCCCCTTTCTCCCAATTCTATTGCACTGAACTCCCAAGCCAAACACAGCCCTGAAATTACCCCTCTCTGCCAAGTCTCAGCTGTCCCCTTACACAGCAGAGGATCCTCTCCCTTAGCCTATTTCCACCCCACCCACCCACCCCACCAGGACCGACCACAACGCTCCCCACTCCTTAATGAAAAAATCTCCACCTCCTCTCCCTCCCGGAACGTGCAGATTTCCAACTCCACGCTCCTGCCTCTCACCTGGTTTTTCCTACAGTAGAAACTCACCTCTCTCCCTCATCCATCACCTAGCAACTTCCCCCACTTGCATCTGTGATGGAGTGCGACTTTTCCCTTTGTTCTGCCCGATCTGCTCAATCTCTCTCTCTCTCTCTCTCTCTCTCTCTCTCTCTCTCTCTCTCTCTCTCTCTCTCTCTCTCATTTCCAAACCTCTATACCCACATAGACCTTCACACTGCCTGCCTCTGTGCTGAAAGGAAGATTTTTCCTGTTTGTCCTAGTTCTCCAAAAGTGGTACCCACATCAGTGGTCTGAGCATCACCTGGGCGCCTGCCTGCTGGCCATGCCAGTTCTCAGGCCCCATGCAGAGACCCTTGGTGGCAACCCAGAGTGCCCACACCCAGGGATTCCTATAAAGCCTTCTCTTCCCCATTACACTCTGAGTCTCTAAACGTGTTTCCATGTCTGTTCAGGAACCAGCTCCAAATACACCTGGACTTTGTGGTAAATCATTTCTCAAAGCAGAAGTTAGACAATATTTCCATAGAAAGTAGTGGTTTATCATAAAAGTAATCCATTCTGTTTATTTGACTTACTGTTGTTCAGTGCTAGGGATTGAGCCAAGGGCCTTAGGTATTCTAGGTGCTCTACTTAGAGTATCTCTACCTTTCTAGCATGCTCTACCACTGAGCTGTGTTCCCAGTGGTACACACTAGTGCTTCTCTTCTTTCTTCTTCTTCTTCTTCTTCTTCTTCTTCTTCTTCTTCTTCTTCTT